GTAGTGGAAGTGAAGTCATCTGAACCTAGGCATAAATTAACAACAAGATTTGACATTAATATTCCAACAATATTAGAACATTTAAAACAAATAAACAAGGTAAAAAAGCTGGATAGATGGGTACTACATAAATTAAACAAACATCAAAAGAAAAGTCACCTCAAAGCTTGTCTTTCTTTTCTGTCACGACATAAAGGCAAACCATTTCTACACTGTATTGTTACATATGATGAAAAATAGATTCTTTTTGACAATCACAAGTGTTCGACACAATGACTGGATAAAGATAAAGTGTGAAACACAGTTCAAAACCAAACATTCATCAAAAAAAGCTAATGGTGTCTGTTTGGTGTTCCAGCACTGGTATTATCCACTACAGCTTCATAAAATCTAGTCAATCAAATATACCAGAGGGCTACTACAACCAATTGGATGAAACAATGAGGATGCTTGCTATGAAGCAGCCATGATTGGTCAATAGAGACAGGCAAATCCTCTTGCAAGACAACATTTGACCACATGTTGCACAAACAATGCTGCTCAAATTACAGAGACTGGACTTGTAGAGTCCTTGCTTCAAGACCCTCTCAACTGAAAAAGTAAAGAGATATACATTTGTATATTAACCCTTGTATTATACAAATGTGTGTGTGTATATATAGTATACAAATGTATACTAACACACATATTTATACACATATACATGTATATATCATCTGTTACCTATATTAAATAATATGTGAGTTCATATTGATGACTCCTACCCTAATGCATTACCATACGGACCATTCTAGCATTCTGTGCTTCCTTATTTGAAACCTGTTATTCCAACAGTGAGAAACCCAGTTCCCATTGTTTGCCATCAACGCTTCAATTCCAGTATACATGTATAGCAGTATTAGTTAACCCATATCCTCATGGGGAACAGTTTTATCAATTAGAGTGATTATATACAGTTTCTTGGTCTTTAGTCTTACCGCATTCATTTCTAAAATTACTTAGATCTGCATCTTTTCCCCAACCCTCTACTATGAGGATGTTTCATACATTTATAATTCAGTTACTGTTTTCCCACAATCTTCATCTCATCCTTGTACATTCTGTAGAG